AGTGTGGTGGAGGCTCCTTCTTTGGAAGCTTTTAAACAGAGGCTGGATGGCCATCTGTCAGGGGTGATTTGAATGCAATATTCCTGCTTCTTGGCAGAATGGGGTTGGACTGGAAGGCCCATGAGGTCTCTTCCAACTCTTTGATTCTATGATTCTATGAATTCCATCATTGGTGGAGTTCAGAATGCTCTTTGATTTTAGGTGAACTATAAATCCCATCAACTTCAACTCCCCAAATGTTGAGGTGTATTTTCCCCAAACTCCACCAGTGTTCATATTTGGGCATATTGAATATTTGTGGCAAGTTTAGTTCATATCCATCACTGAGTGCACCGTGCTCTCTGGATGTAGGTGTACTACAACTCCAAAACTCAAGGTCAATGCCCACCAAATCCTTCCAGTATTTTCTGTTGGTCATCAGAGTTCTGTGTGCCAAGTTTGGTTCAATTCTATCGTTGGTGGGGTTCAGAATGCTTTTTGATTATAGGTGAACTATAAATCTCAGCAACTACAACTCCCAAATGACAAAATCATAATGTTTTGAATGATTGTCACTCCCTTGTGTTGTGAGACGTTGTATTGCCAAATTTGGTGTGATTTCATTCATTGGTTCTTTTTTAATATATATTGTTTTTAAGTGCAGGCCAAGGTCTTTAGCGCTGCACCCAGTGTGGTCATCACCATTGGAACCGCTTTCACTGGCTTGTACCAATTTGCAGTTCGATCTTTAAATCCTCATATTGTGTAAGCTCTTCCAGTTGAGTCTCATCAATTATTATTATAATTATTATCTATATAAATAAAAACGTAATGTTTGTTTGTGATACCATCAGAACTCAAGAACCAGTGGGGGGAATTGACACCAAATTTGGACACAAGGCACCTAACAACCCAATGTATGTCCTTCACTCAAAAAAACCCTGATTTTGTCATTTGGGAATTGTCATTGCTGGGATTTATAGTTTACCTACAATCAAAGAGCATTCTGAACTCCACCAATGATGGAATTGGGCCAAACTTAGCACACAGGGCTCCCATGACCAGCAGAAAAAACTGGAAGGGTTTGGTGGACATTGACCTTGAGTTTGGGAATTGTAGTTCACCCACATCCAGAGAGCACTGTGGACTCAAACAATGGCGGATCTGGACCAAACTTGACACAAAAATTCCATATGCCTAAATATGAACACAGATGGCGTTTGGAGGAAATAGACCTTGACATTTGGAGTTGTAGTTGCTGGGATTTATAGTTCACCTACAATCAAAGAGCATTCTGAATTCCAACAATGATGGAATTGAACCAATCTTGGCACACAGGACTTCCATGACCAACAGAACACACTGAAAGGGTTTGGTGGACATTGACCTTGAGTTTGGGAATTGTAGTTCACCCACATCCAGAGAGCACTGTGGACTCAAACAATGATGGATCTGGACCAAACTTGGCACGAATATTCCATATGCCCAAATATGAACACAGATGGAGTTTGGAGGAAATAGACCTTGACATTTGGGAGTTGTAGTTGCTGGGATTTATAGTTCACCTACAATCAAAGAGCATTCTGAACTCCACCAATGATGGAATTGACCCAAACATGGCATACAGGACTTCCATGACCAACAGAACACACTGGAAGGGTTTGGTGGGCATTGACCTTGAGTTTGGGAGTTGTAGTTCACCTACATCTAGAGAGCACTGTGGACTCAAACAATGACGGATCTGGACCCAACTTGACACAAAAATTCCATATGCCTAAATATGAACACAGATGGAGTTTGGAGGAAATAGACTTTTGACATTTGGAATTTGTAGTTACTGGGATTTATAATTCACTACAATTAAAGAGCATTCGGAAACCCACAAACGACAGAAATTGGGCAAACTTCCCACACAGAACCTTGATGACCAACAGAAAATACTTAAGGCCATCCAGTCCAACTCTCTTCACCAGGGCAAGAAAATGTAATCAGAGCCCTCCTGACAAAGAGCCATCCAGCCATAGATATAGATAGATAGATATGATCAGAGGCGGCCCTAGGTAATTTTCAATGGTGAGCAAACAGTATTTTGGCGCCCCCCCCCCCCAAAATACTGTTTGTTGTGGGAGTTCTGTGTGCCATATTGGGTTCAATTCCACCATTGGTGGAGTTCAGAATGACCTTTGATTGTAGTTGAACTATACATCCCAGTAACTACAACTTGCATATGTCAAGGTCTATTTTCCCCCAAGAGTGCCTCAAGAGCGCCCTTGGGTAAAATCAACTATACCGCAAATGCTTACTTTGCGTAATGGTTGAGCCGCCCGTGCTTGCGTGTTATTGTTTATATGTGTGTTACATTAATTGTATTGTTTTTGCTTATGGTATTTTGTTTTATTGATGCGTTGTCGGGCTTGGCCTCACGTACGCCGCTCTGAGTCCCCTTGGGGAGATGGTGGCGGGGTATAAATAAAGTATTATTATTATTATTATTATTATTATTATTATTATTATTATATTCATTCTGTTTTGGCCCATTCTGTCCAAGGAATGCAGTAGGATCGTTCTGAGTTTATGGCTAGCTTGGTAAAAGGAAGTGCTTACTTGTTACTATGTAAGAGCTCATAGAAGGCCCTTGTACGCCTTTTTTCCAACCTTCTATGTACACTGTACATCTTATTTGAAAAAAAAATGAGACTAGGCCTGTTATGTATTCGGTAATCTCTGGATACAATAAGTTCCCTGTTCCTGCCATCTAGATCAGGTTGTTAAAATGGTCCAACAAGCCCTTGGTGGAATACTTAAAAACATTCCATCTGAACACAATCATAGAATCATAGAATCATAGAATCAAAGAGTTGGAAGAGACCTCATGGGCCATCCAGTCCAACCCCATTCTGCCAAGAAGCAGGAATATTGCATTCAAATCACCCCTGACAGATGGCCATCCCTGACAGATGGCTCTCTCTCTCTCTCTCTCTCTCTCTCTATATATATATATATATATATATATACATTTCAAACTCTGTTCTTGTCCCTAGCCCACTTGATTGGGTGTCTCCAAACCCCTTTGGGGGGAAAAAATCCCCATTGCATCTTAAGAATGCAATGGCCATCCAGCCTCTGCTTAAAAGCTTCCAAAGAAGGAGCCTCCACCACACTCCGGGGCAGAGAGTTCCACTGCTGAACGGCTCTCACAGTCAGGAAGTTCTTCCTAATGTTCAGATGGAATCTCCTCTCTTGTAGTTTGAAGTCATTGTTCCGCGTCCTAGTCTCCAAGGAAGCAGAAAACAAGCTTGCTCCCTCCTCCCTGTGGCTTCCTCTCACATATTTATACATGGCTATCATATCTCCTCGCAGCCTTCTCTTCTTCAGGCTAAACATGCCCAGCTCCTTAAGCCGCTCCTCATAGGGCTTGTTCTCCAGACCCTTGATCATTTTAGTCGCCCTCCTCTGGACACATTCCAGCTTGTCAATATCTCTCTTGAATTGTGGTGCCCAGAATTGGACACAATATTCCAGATGTGGTCTAACCAAAGCAGAATAGAGGGTAGCATTACTTCCCTGGATCTAGACACTATGCTCCTATTGATGCAGGCCAAAATCCCATTGGCTTTTTTTGCCGCCACATCACATTGTTGGCTCATGTTTAACTTGTTGTCCACGAGGACTCCAAGATCTTTTTCACACGTACTGCTCTCGAGCCAGGCATTGTCCCCCATTCTGTATCTTTGCATTTCATTTTTTTCTGCCAAAGTGGAGTATCTTGCATTTGTCACTGTTGAACTTCATTTTGTTAGTTTTGGCCCATCTCTCTAATCTGTCAAGATCTTTTGAATTCTGCTCCTGTCCTCTGGAGTATTGGCTATCCCTCCCAATTTGGTGTCGTCTGCAAACTTGATGATCATGCCTTCTAGCCCTTCATCTAAGTCATTAATAAAGATGTTGAACAGGACCGGGCCCAGGACGGAACCCTGAGGCTGAACAAGGAAGAACTTCCTGACTGTGAGAGCCGTTCAGCAGTGGAACTCTCTGCCCCGGAGTGTGGCGGAGGCTCCTTCTTTGGAAGCTTTTAAACAGAGGTTGGATGGCCATCTGTTGGGGGTGATTTGAATGCAATATTCCTGCTTCTTGGCAGAATGGGGTTGGACTGGATGGCCCATGAGGTCTCTTCCAACTCTTTGATTCTATGATTCTATATAGAGAAATAGATATGATCAGAGGCGGCCCTAGAAATGGGGCCACAAAGTGGAATCCTCGACATGCGAGTGTGGAGAAGAGCCAACCACTGACCACCTGCTGCAATGCACCCTGAGCCCTGCCACATGCACCATGGAGGACCTTCTTGCAGCAACACCAGAGGTGCTCCAAGTCAATTACCAAACTCACAAAATTTTGTATTTTGTCTGTTTTTTTTGTTTTGTTGTTGTTTTGGTCTGTTAGAAATGTAATATAATTGACTGGCTGCCCTGACACGACAAATAAAATATTATATTATTAGCACAGCACAATATTAGTATTATTACTAATACAGGGCGGCCTTTTGCAGCTGACAGATGTTGATTTTATTGGTGCCAATTGTTTTTAAGTGCAGACCAAGGTCTTTAGTGCTGCACCCAGTGTGCTCATCACCATTGGAACCACTTTCACCGGCTAATACCAATTTGCAGTTCGATCTTTAAATCCTCATATTGTGTAAGCTCTTCCAGTTGCATCTCATCAATTATTATTATTATTATTATTATTATTATTATTATTATTATTATTATTATTATTAATGTTTATGTCTACCTTTGGGTGTGGAGACCAGATCAGGAAATGAATGGATAGAGAATGGAGACTGGGGGGGAAAGGCCCTGGACTGGGGGGCAGAGAGATGATGCTGGCATGTGGTCCAGGTCTGAGGATGCAGATCCAGGGCGAGGATGCTGCTGGTCCAGCCCTAGCCAGGCGCGTGCACGAGAGCAGCCTTCCCCTTTTTCCTACGTGTGCGCGCGCAGCCTCCCGCGCCAGCCCAGGCAAGGCAGCAGCAGCAGCAGCAGCAGCTCAGGTTGCCTCTCTCTGCCTGCCTTGCCTTGCCTTGCCTTGCCTTGCCTTGCCTGCCTTTGGAAAGCCAAGGCTCTTCTCCCCAAAGGCTAGGACCCTCTCTTCCCTCCTCTTCCTCTGGACTAAGCCCTGAACTTTGGAAGCGGAAAGGGGTCTCAGGTAAGCCCGCTTTCTCCTCCTCCTCCTCCTCCTCCTCTTTTTCCTATAGCCCTTCAGCATCCCACAAGGCTTCCCCAATGGGTCCAGATCTTGCTTTTCTGCCCCCAAATGTGCAAAATCCTGGGGTTCCAGGGTCACAGCAAGAAGGAGGTCCTTGCCTTTCCTCTCCCCTCCCTTTCTCCTCTTTCGGGAAGGCAATTGTCGGGTCTTTTTCGGATTCTGGTTTTGGAAAAGCAGGAAAACAAGAGACTTCCTACTTTGGGGATGTGATGCTATGGGAGTGGGCAGCATTGGGGGTGAGCCTTGGGCATCCTCTGAGCCAAAACAGGGGCAAAAAAGGCATCCTTTCCTGCTGGAGAGGGAAGCTGGCACATCTGGAAGGCACTGGAGGGTGAATCCCAGGCTCCAGAAATGCCCAGAAACATAATAATAATATTATAGATAATAATATAATATAATATAATAACATATTATATAATAATATATATATATATATATATATATATATATATATATATAATAAATTAATAATAATATATAATGAGATGGAGCCCTTTCTGCTCCCATTTCCTTGCACTTATTATTTATGTATTATGCCCAGAAACATAATAATAATATTATATATAAAATATAATATAATATTATATATATATATATAATAAGATGGAGTCCTTCCTGCTCCCATTTCCTTGCACTTATTATTTATGTATTATGCCCAGAAACATAATAATAATATTATATATAAAATATAATATAATATTATATATATATATATAATAAGATGGAGTCCTTCCTGCTCCCATTTCCTTGCACTTATTATTTATGTATTATGCCCAGAAACATAATAATAATATTATATATATAATATATAATAATATATTATTATAATATTATAATATTATAGATAATAATATAATATAATATAATAATATATATAAAATAAATTAATAATAATATATAATGAGATGGAGCCCTTTCTGCTCCCATTTCCTTGCACTTATTATTTATGTATTATGCCCAGAAACATAATAATAATATTATATATAAAATATTATATATATATATATATATATATATATATATATATATATATATATAATAAGATGGAGTCCTTCCTGCTCCCATTTCCTTGCACTTATTATTTATGTATTATGCCCAGAAACATAATAATATACTATATAATAATATATAATAATATATTATTATAATATTATAATATTATAGATAATAATATAATATAATATAATAACATATATATAATAATATTATATATATATATATATATATATATATATATATAATAAATTAATAATAATATATAATGAGATGGAGCCCTTTCTGCTCCCATTTCCTTGCACTTATTATTTATGTATTATGCCCAGAAACATAATAATAATATTATATATAAAATATAATATAATATTATATATATATATATATAATAAGATGGAGTCCTTCCTGCTCCATTTCCTTGCACTTATTATTTATGTATTATGCCCAGAAACATAATAATATACTATATAATAATATATAATAATATATTATTATAATATTATAATATTATAGATAATAATATAATATAATATAATAATATATATAAAATAAATTAATAATAATATATAATGAGATGGAGCCCTTTCTGCTCCCATTTCCTTGCACTTATTATTTATGTATTTTATTTTATTTTATTTTATTTTATTTACGATATTTATATGCTGCTCCTCTCACCCCGAAGGGGACTTAGAGCTGCTCACAATATATATATATATATATATATATATATATATATATATATATATATATATATATACATACACAGAGAGAGAGAGAGAATATATATATATATATCTATATATACACACACACAGAGAGAGAGAATATATATATATATAGAGAGAGAGTGAGAGTGAGTGTGTGTGTGTATATATATAGAGTACAATATATAGAGTACAATATCAGTATTATATATTACTCCCTCTCTCTCTCTCTCTCTATATATATATATATATACATTTCAAACTCTGTTCTTGTCCCTAGCCCACTTGATTGGGTGTCTCCAAACCCCTTTGGGGCGAAAAAAATCCCCATTGCATCTTAAGAAAAAATTAAATTAAATTAAATTAAAATAAAATAAAAATATAAATAAATATAAATAAAAAACAATCCCCCACTGCGTCATAAGAAAATAAAAATAAAAATTAAACATAATAAAGAAAATAAAATAAAAATTAAACATAATAAAAAAGTTAAAAAAATATCCCCATTGGATCATAAGAAAATAAAAAAAAATAAACATAAGAAAAAATAAAAAAATTATCCCCATTAAGTTGTAAGAAAATAAAATAATAAAATAATATTAAATAAAAAAAAATCCCCCATTGCATCATAAGGAAAAATAAAAAATAAGTGTATTTTATATATATATATATATATATATATATATATATATATATATATATATATATGCCACTCTGAATCCCCTTCAGGGTGAGAAGGACGGCATACAAATATCATAAATAAAATAAATAAAATATATATAGTACAATATCAGTATTATATATTACTCCCTCTCTCTCTCTCTATATATACACACTTCAAACTCTGGTCTTGTCCCTAGCCCACTTTATTGGGTGTCTCCAAACCCCTTTGGGGAGAAAAAAAATCCCCATTGCATCTTAAGAAAATAAAATAAAATAAATAAAAATATTAAATTAAATACAAATACAAATAAATATAAATAAAAAACAATCCCACCTTGCACCTTAAGAGAATAAAATAAAAATTAAACATGATAAAATAAAAAAAAATAAAAAATATGCCCATTGCATCATAATAAAATAAAATAAAAATTAAACATAATAAAAATAAAATTAAAATAAATAAAATTAAAAAAACAATGCCACATTGCATCTTAAGAAAATAAAATAAAAATTAAGCATGATAAAAAATAAAATAAAGAATATCTCCATTGCGTCATAAGAAAATAAAATAAAAATAATAAAAAAGAAAATACAAATAAATATAAATAAAAAACAATCCCGCATTGCATCTTAAGAAAATAAAATAAAAGTTATATATTATATAAAAAAATATATAAATAAATAAAAAAAATTATGCCCATTAAGTCATAAGAAAATAAAAAAATTAAAATAATATAAAATAAAAATAAATAAAAATAATCCCCCATTGCATAAGGAAATAAAATAAAAATTAAACATAATAAAAAATTAAAATAAAATAAAATAAAAAAATATCCCAATTAAGATAAAAATAGTACAATGTAAAATAAAATTAAAATTAAAAATATTTCCCCATTGCATCATAAATAAATAATAAATAAAATAAATAGTCCTCTATTGCATCATAGCTGCATCCTCTTGTGTTGTTGTTGCTGTTGTTTCTATTGAATTAGTTAACGATTACGCTGTCTTTGGTACCTCAAACGTCAGCCCCTGTGTCCGGGTCTGTTTGCCCATCCGATTCCAAAAAATGGCCCTCGGTTTCTATCAGCTCTGCCTTTTGAGATGCCATCTCTCAGTTGCATATAGAAAACCATATTGGAGAAACCTAAACGGACACGATATCCATCCAATGCCAATTTTCTGAATTGTCTCCCCAAAAAACCCCAGTAAGATGTCTTTTAACAATTGAGTAATATCTCTGTTGTCGAAGGCTTTCGTGGCCGGAACCATTGGGTTGCTGTCAGTTTTCTGGGCTGGCTGGTAATGTTCCAGAAGCATGCTCTCCTGACGTTTTGCCCACATCTATGCCAGGGATCCTCAGAGGTTGTGAGGCCTGTTGGAAACTAGGAACGTGAGGTTTACATATCGGTGAACATATAAAGAGGGCTGACTCCCCCCCCCCCTTGCATTAAATGGCCTTGAAGCTTCAAAGCCTGGCTGATTCCTGCCTGTGGGAATCCTTTGTTGGGAGGCATGTGGACAATTCCAACAGAAAGGAGAAAACCGCAAAAATGAACAAAATCTGTTGCAATTATTTGATTCTGAGTGTGAATGTTGCAATTGCCCAGCTTGATTAGCACTGAATGGACTTGCAGCTTTAAAGCCTGGCTGCTTCCTGCCTGGGGAATCCTTTGTTGGGAGGTGTTCACTGGCACTGATTGGCACAATTTCAACAGAAAGGAGGAAACCATGAAAATGAAGGAAAGCTGGCAACCAGTATTTTTTTAAAAATCCCTAAAATCAGGAACCTCCCAACAAAGTATTCCCCCAGTCAGGAAGCAGCCAGGCTTTGAAGCTGCAAGGCCATTCAATGCTAATCAAGGTGGCCACTTGCAACATTCATACTTGCCTCTTTCTCCCACCCAGGATATATAAACCCAATTTTCCTAGTTTCTAACAGACCCCACAGCCTCTGAGGATGCCTGCCATAGATGTGGGCAAAACATCAGGAGAGAAAGCTACATGGCCAGACAGCCTGGAAAACTCACAACAACCCGGTTATGCTGGCCATGAAAGCCTTCGACAACTCATGAAACGTAATAATAATAATAATAATAATAATAATAATAATAATGAGGTTTATATATGTGAAATGATGTCCAAGCTGGAAGAAAGAACTCTTGTCCGTTGGAGGCAAATATGAATGTTGCAGTTGGCCACCTTGATGATGATGATGATGATTATTATTATTATTTTAAATATGTTGTTGGAAGACTTTCATGCCAAAATCACTGGGTTGTTGTCAGTTTTCCGGGCTGTATGGCCATGTAACAGAAGCATTCTCTCCTGATGTTTCACCCACATTTATGGCAAGCATCCTCTGAGGTTATGAGTAGGGTTTATATATCTGTGGAATGTCCAGGGTAGGAGAAACAACTCTTGCCCGTTGGAGGCAAGTAAGAATGTTGCAGTTGGCCACCTTGATTAGCATTGAATGGCCTTGCAGCTTCAAAGCCTGGCTGCTCCCTGCCTGGGGGAATCCATTGTTGGGAGGTGTTAGCTGGCACTGATTGTTTCCTGTCTGGAATTCCCCTGTTT